AATGAGAATATAACGGATTACATGATTTCCCATAGAAGTCTATGGGAAATCGTGTTTCGCGTAAAGAAACACCTCACATAACGAACGCACCGCTGGAACGAATTGCGTTCGTTATGCGAGGTACCACTGTACCACAGGTACAGGCCACACCAGGTACCACGCAAGATAACCAAAAAATGACACAAGAAAGTGACATCCCACACAGTACAATGACATCCCTGGGATGTTTCCCTTACTGAACGACTCGTCCCAAGGTCGTTATGGACAACCTTCGACGTCTCCAGTCGAACGCTTTTCCATATCTTGGGAGGAATGTCTTCAGGACATTTTACATCTTTAAGGCATCTTTAAGTTAGTTTTTTTTTCCGTACCATATACATGGGACTCCTTCCCATATCTTTTTACCTGGCAGTATGAATCCCAAAGCAACTGCACGAGTAAACCAGATAGCCTTGTACATATTTGACTTCTTGCAGACGGAAGCGTAGTTAGGTACTAACGTTAGGTTAGTCCCATGATTGACAGAATCAGCTCACCCGACGTTCGAAGGTTCAACCGAAGGCACTCTTTTTAGTATTATTTATGAGACAGGACATGTGACAAACATCCACGACAAAGAACATATTTTTTTACATGACGCAGAGGAAGGGGGTGCCCGTTTGGCATGAGCACCACAGCTCTACCACAATCCCTTAGGCTGGGACACCCCTCTACGGTCCTGTAGAAAGCCTAAGGTGCAGTTCACGGATTTCCCATGCCATGACTGGCAGGAGTGGTTTTTAGTATGTACTACACCCGTATCTCCTAGACGTGGCACACAGAGTGACATTTGTGTTATCCCACGCTAAGCAGTCACTCCTCATGCAAGCAGGCGGGTTACCTGTCGGCGGAGGAAGAGCCCGCCGCCACATCGGACTCGATCTTTCGCCTCCCTGGTTTCACTCTGAGGCCAGAACCACTCGGCAACCGGCCGGTGAAGACGCTCGCCCTATCCATCCCACATAGCACAGTGATATCCCAGTGATCTTCCCAGCTGGACGAGTTGTCGCAAGGTCTTCATGGGATATCCTGAAGACGTCTTCTTTCGGACGGACGATTTCCGATATCTCCAGAGGGCCGTTTTCCGGACATCACCCAGACATCTTCACACGAGTTCTCGCAGATATCCCGAAAGGGATTTCATTAAGACACCTTCAGTCAAACGCTTTTCAACATCTCGAGGAGAATGTCTTCGGGACATCTTAGGGATGTCTATAGATACTTTCGGCCGTCTTCGTCACCTTCAGTCGGGTGCATAACTTTCACGGTGGATGCTTTCCACGTGCCCTGATTTTCAACCTCAGATATCTTAAATCAATTTTATTAACTTGATTTGCACAGAAAAGAAGTAATGATTTTCGTACTTAAATTAAAAAAATTTGCCACTGAGGAAAGTGATAAAGTTAATGTTCTAATATTGATGAATTTCGTTTTAATCTGATGAATGATGTCGGATCGGCACGTCTGGGTTGGAAATCCGAACACATGCACCAGCTTTTAAGAAATGGATAAGGACAGCCGAGATAGCTCAGTTGGGAGAGCGTTACACTGAAGATCTAAAGGTCCCTGGTTCGATCCCGAGTCTCGGCGTTAATTATTTTCCTTCCTCGCTCTCGCTCTCCCCCTTTTTCTCCTTCACAGCCTTCTGCTATACTGAATATAAGGGGGGGAATTTTCCGAGTTTCCTGCGCCCTCTGACGGCCTCGCTCCGGCGGCTATTCTCTTCTCGCTCTCAATCTCCATCTCACTAAAACCTGAATATCAACACTGATTCTAGCAACCTTCCACTAAGCAACCGCTTCCTCTGGTCGTTTGGCACCTTCAAACATATTTTGCCCTCTTGCCGCGTGTGTCCTTAAATAACTTCTCATAGGCTATAAATATAATATACTAGTAGATTAAACTATGCACTCAGGCATAAATGTAAAATGGCTAGGATCTTTCATCCTTCTTTCGCTGCAGATGAAGCTCAGTTAAATTAAGAACCTAAGTTGAACGTCGTGCAAAAAAAAACTATCTTACATAAATGCGAGGTGGCTCTCACCTCACGGCCACACTTTCTTGACAGTAAAACTGATGCTTCGAAGGCCAAGACGAGGAGAAACCTTGATTCCAAATTCGAGGAGGACTACGCGGCGCAAAGACTGGCCCAAGTGGCACTCAGACAAGTACGAATGCAGGGAGAGGAATAAATAAAGACGGTCTGAACAATGGAATTGAGATCGCGGAGCTTTACGTGACCTACTTCATCACACGTGCCGGGTGGCATTCTGACCCCATGTGCAAGGAAGGGAGATCGATGAGCGTTCTCCCTCGAGGAATTCGTGTCAGGAATTCCCCCGTGAGGAATTCAAGGGAGGAAAGGAATGAGAAATACGAAAAAATTGGACGGTGTAGGCGAAGTCCCTTCTTTTCCTTCCTCGGTGACTTCATCGGTGACTTTGCATTCAACGACCTTTGATGGAAACGAATGGGTATGCACCCCGGAATGAATCGGCAATATTGCGTTATGCACTATTATTTCAACACTGTCCATGTGAAATTACTGAGCTTTTTACACTGTGAGTGGCACGGTGGCCATCAGCAATCGGAGCCGATGGAGAATCCAGGCCGTCTCTCGATCTCTGCTTTGAGTCCGGAGATGATTCCATGTGAATTGGCACAAAGAGGACCATCTCCGGTTCGGCCAGGAAATACAGCGCCTGAACGGAACCTGGCTGACAAACAAGAACCGTGCTAATTGGTAACTGTGAGTCACATGCTCTGTTGTGTCACTTTCGACGAAAGCTTAAAACAGCTTAGTTGCAATTATCATCCGATACGAAAGGTCGAAACGCTTTATTCTGAAAGTCTGAAATTTGTACCACTGCCACTGGTTTCGAGTTTTGAATGGAACGGGAGAGAAGTGGCTTGGAGGACCTCGCTCCGTGTAAGACTCTCGCCCTCGGCCGGGGAGCCGGCGAGTCTGAGGGGGCGGGGAGACAGAGCCGTACCGACGAGGCTGCTGTGTGGGGCGCCGATCGGTTGCCAAATTGCTACAGGACACGAATAAAACGGTTTAAAAAATTGAAAATTACCCTGAATTTAACTACGTTAAACATATAAATTAATACGTAATGTATAGTTGGTGTGGGAGCTGGAGAGGTATATAAATGTAGGTGGAGGGAGGGGGGCCACGAAGAAAGCCCTTCAGAATGCTATTAATGTTCCCGTGCATGAAAATTTTTCTCCATCGCTACCAGAAGGAATACTATAGTTGGATGTCTCCACGGTCATCCTGGCTTTTCCATAACGAATCTCCAATGAATTTGAAAAAGCGGAGATCCATTAGGCCACACGATGGAGATGTCCAATGCTTATCTTTGGAGGAGTGGATCCAGTGGATGACCAAATGGTCATCCACTGAACGTCCAAGGAGGATATCCAGAGGATCTTCAAGTTTCCTCGAGTCCAACGGATTTCTTTTGGCTTAATAATCGCTGCTTGGGTAGGCATAACGGCTGTGGAGCTTCAACTTGAACCCACTTGAACGAAACCGTTTGGTTTTCCTTTCCTCGAGCCTGTCCCGCGCGGGTCGAGCGATTCGATGGAATGCCTCACGGTGACGAATGCAGTTTTTCCATCTGCGATCGGCCATAGTCCGCCGTGTATAGACAGAAGAGTTAACGATGGGGAGCAATGAAGCGGAAGAACAATATCTGGATGTGACAACTTATTTCTTGAAGGAACAATTTTCGATAAATATCGTTATATCGCGACGATCGGCATACGCCTTACGGAAATTGCGATGCATCAAGGTTTTCGCGAATGAAAAGGCGATCCACCATACTTTTCCTTCTTTCTTTTCTGCAGGAGCAAAAGCTTCGAGGAATTCCTTGAAGCTCCGGTGGAAGAGATGCGAAACCGATCGACCCGGACGGCGTCTTTCCCCAGGATCGGGCGGAACCAGATGAGTTTCGACTTGGGTCTGGACGAGAGGGACTTCGAGGACGAGGACAAGGTGGAGGCCTTCGTCGAAGGCATTCGCGAGGCCTTCCCCCTGGTCCTCATCGTGGAGGATCTGGAGGAGTCCCTCGTGTTGCTCCGACATCGGCTCTGTTGCTCCCTCGAGGACGTCGTGCACTTCTCGAGAAACGTGCGATCGGAGAGGAAACCCCTAAAACCTGACGAACGGAGAAAACTGGCGGAACTGAACGCGGCCGACGAGGCACTGTACGAAGCCTTCTCGACAGACCTGCGACGAAAGGTGCTGGCGTTCGGCGAAGGACGCATGGCGGACGAGAAGCTCGCCCTCCGCTGCCTCTCGGAGGCCTGGGCCCGCGAGTGCCGGGTCCGCTCGGTGAGCCAGGGCGAGATCCCCCCTGCAGTCAGGCTCTGGAAGAACTCGGCGAACCTGGTCGCGCCCAGGCACGAGTGGAGTCGCGAGGCGTGCTCCCTCATGGCCTTCAATTCCGTTGCTTTTCTCAAGACGCTCCGGGCGCGGCAGCTGGAGAGGACTCTGCCTCTCATGGTCCTTTACTGAGCCTTTCCTGCTCGTATTTTCTCAAGCTTCCTCATCTACCGTAATTTCGTTCGGGGTCGTTATATTCTTTTTTTTTCTCTCAAGCAATTGTTGTATTTGAGATTCAGAACATTTCCATTAGAAATCTCGATATCATTAAATTTCGTCAGCCAAACCATCTCCCAATTTCCTTAAAAAGTCACAAGTTATTGGGTCACGGCCCAACATATCGTCGCACTTATACCCGCAAAATTAGGCTGAATGAACTTTGATTAATATAAATGCTGTTACTCATTCTGCAAGACCTGATACCACTCTCCGACGATAGATTTCGAGGTAGAACTTGAGTAGGTTTCCACACCACTTCGTTTATTCTTTGCAATCATCCCCTGGGATTAATATTATTTATTCAACTGCAAGAAGTAATAGCATGATAGCAGTTCAAGGCAAAATAGCATAATTTTCATCAGTCCTGATTTCTTAATGAATATTCCAGACAGTGTTTCATCGGCATCCAATATAGATATTGTGGATAATTACCTTGGTAGTTTTTGAACCCTGCAGATGGACTTAAGGAGTAAAATTAATTTTGCTTTTGAACAGATCAGACGGAAAGGGCAGTTCCAAAAATCGGTAGGAAGTCTATACCTTCATTTATCAAACAACCACAATAACCAACCAGCTCAAACAACCAACAAACCTCATAACACACGAATTTTATTACTCATATAATGTAATGACAAAAATCGGAACTAAACTGAAGGAAGCAGGCGCAGGCGTAGCATGCAAAGAGCTCATTAATCTTGGAGGGATTCTTATCGATTCACGGAATGGAAAGCCCAAACCCAAGTTTTCTCTCTCATATGTATTTTGCAATTACGGAGAAGACTTCCTTGACGTCCTCATAACGACTTGGGAAAAACTTCGGTCTCTTCCACTTCCTCTTCGTTTTATCGATTTTGCAAAGATTGAATAAAATGCCAACACTTGAGCACATGAAGGTTAAGTCTAATGCACGACCTTAAGGTCTAGTTCACTGCCAAGACTTGCATTCCACCGAACCTTCAGGTGTTCGAGTTTGTTCTTATACTCTAAGGACATGTACATTCATGCAAAGTTTTGTATTTTATACAATACCTTTTCGCAACTTGTTTTTAGATGGTTTGCAATTCATTTTCGCATTCCGTGAGTGCAGAATGTGGTTAGAAATATGCGTGAAAAGTGGTAGCAAAGTGGTTGGAAATATGATCCCACACAGCACAGTGATATCCCGGGGATGTCCCCAACTGGATGACTTGTTCCAAGGTCTTCATGGGATATCCTGAAGACGTCTTCTTTCGGACGGTTTCCGACATCTCCAGAGGGATGTCTTTGGGGCATCACCCAGACATCTTCAATCAAGGAGAATGTCTTTGGGACATCTTAGGGATGTCTTCAGACACCTTCAGTGCTCATTGTCGCCTTCAGTCAGATGCATAGCTTCGACGGTAGATGTGTCCCATGCGCCCTGATCTGTAACCTCAAATCTTTTCTACCAAATTGATCTACTTGATTTGTCTTTAGTAGTAGTAGTAGATTTGTCTTTAGTAAGGATTTTCGTACCGAACATCAGGGAAATCGCCACTGAGGAAAGGGATAAATTTCACACGTGCCGGGTGGCATTCTGACCCCATGTGCAAGGAAGGGAGATCGATGAGCGTTCTCCCTCGAGGAATTCGTGTCAGGAATTCCCCCGTGAGGAATTCATGGGAGGAAAGGAATGAGAAATACGAAAAAAATTGGACGGTGAAGGCGAAGTCCTTTCATTTCCTTCCTCGGTGACTTCATCGGTGACTTTTGCATTCAACGACCGTTCGTGGAAACGAATGGGTATGCACCCCGGAATGAATCGTCAATATTGCGTTTTGCACAATTTTTTCAACAATGTCCATGGGAAATTGCGGATTGAACTTGAACCCACTTGAACGAAACCGTTTGGTTTTTCCTTCATCGAGCCTGTCCCGGGCGGGCCGAGCGATTCGAGGGAATGCCTCAGGGTGACGAATGCTTCGGTTTCCTGCGTCAGTCGTGCAGTTTTTCCATCTGCGATCGGCCATAGTCCGCCGTGTAGAGACAGAAGAGTCAACGATGGGGAGGAATGAAGCGGAAGAACAATACCTGGATGTGACAACTTATTTCTTGAATGAACAATTTTCGATAAATATCGTTATATCGCGACGATCGGCATACGCTTTACGGAAATCGCTATGCATCGCGATTTTCGCGAAGGAAAAGGCGACTCACCATATTTCCCTTCTTTCTTTTCTGCAGGAGCAAGAGCTTCGAGAAATTCCTTGAAGCTCCGGTGGAAGAGATGCGGAAGCGATCGACCCGGACGGCGTCTTTCCCCAGATTCGGGCGGAACCAGATGAGTTTCGACCTGGGTCTGGACGAGAGGGACTTCGAGGACGAGGACAAGGTGGAGGCCTTCGTGGAAGGCATCCGCGAGGCCTTCCCCCTGGTCCTCATCGTGGAGGACCTGGAGGAGTCCCTCGTGTTGCTCCGACATCGGCTCTGTTGCTCCCTCGAAGACGTCGTGCACTTCCCGAAAAACGTGCGATCGGAGAGCAAACCCCTAAAACCTGACGAACGGAGAAAACTGGCGGAACTGAACGCGGCCGACGAGGCACTGTACGAAGCCTTCTCGACCGACATGCGACGAAAGGTGCAGGCGTTCGGCGAAGGACGCATGGCGGACGAGAAGCTCGCCCTCCGCTGCCTCTCGGAGGCCTGGGCCCGCGAGTGCCGGGTCCGCTGGGTGAGCCAGGGCGAGATCCCCTCTGCAGTCAGGGCCTGGAAGAACTCGGGGAACCTGGTTGCGCCCAGGCACGAGTGGAGTCGCGAGGCGTGCTCTCTCATGGGCTTCAATTCCATCGCTTTTCTCAAGCTGCTCCGGGCGCGGCAGCTCGAGAGGACTCTGCCTCTCATGGTCCTTTACTGAGCCTTTCCTGCTCGTATTTTCTCAAGCTTCCTCATCTACCGTAATTTCGTTCGGGGTCGTTATATTATTATTTTTTCTCTCAAGCAATTGTTGTATTTGAGATCCAGAGCATTTCCATTAGAAATCTCGATATCATTAAATTTCGTCAGCCAAACCATCTCCCAACTTCCTTAAAAAGTCACAAGTTATTGGGTCACGGCCCAACATATCGTCGCACTTATACCCGCAAAATTAGGCTGAATGAACTTTAATTAATATAAATGCTGTTATTCATTCTTCAAGACCTGATACCACTCTCCGACGAAGGCTTTCGATGTACAACTTGAGTAGGTTTCCAAACCACTTTGTTTATTCTTTGCAATCATCCCCTGGGATTAATATTATTTATTCAACAGCAAGAAGTAATAGCATGAGAGCAGTTCAGGGCAAAATAGCATAATTTTCATCTGTCCTGATTTTTTAATGAATATTCCAGACAGCGTTTCATCGGCATCCAATATAGATATTGTGGATAATTACCTTGGTAGTTTTTGAACCGTGCTTCGCACGAGCCAGAACGTGGGAACCCTGCAGATGGACTTAAGGAGTAAAATTAATTTTGCTTTTGAACAGATCAGACGGAAAGGGCAGTTCCAAAAATCGGTAGGAAGCCTATAACTTCATTTATCGAACAACCACAATAACCAACCAGCTCAAACAACCAACAAACCTCATAACACACGAATTTTATTACTCATATAATGTAATGACAAAAATCGGAACTAAACTGAAGGAAGCAGGCGCAGGCGTAGCATGCAAAGAGCTCATTAATCTTGGAGGGATTCTTATCGATTCACGGAATGGAAAGCCCAAACCCAAGTTTTCTCTCTCATATGTATTTTGCAATTATGGAGAAGACTTCCTTGACGTCCTCATAACGACTTCGGAAAGACTTCGGTCTCTTCCTCTTCCTCTTCGTTTTATCGATTTTGCAAAGATTGAATAAAATGCCAACACTTGGGCACATGAAGGTTAAGTCTAATGCACGACCTTAAGGTCTAGTTCACTGCCAAAACTTGCATTCCACCGAACCTTCAGGTGTTCGAGTTTGTCCTTATACTCTAAGGACATGCACATTCATGCAAAGTTTTGTATTTTATACTATACCCGTTTGCAACTTGTTTTTAGATGGTTTGCAATTCATTTTCGGCATTCGGTGAGTGCAGAATGTGGTTGGAAATATGCGTGAAAAGTGGTAGCAAAGTGGTTGGAAATATGATCCCACACAGCACAGAAATATCCCGGGGATGTCCCCAACTGGATGACTTGTTCCAAGGTCTTCATGGGATATCCTGAAGCCGTCTTCTTTCGGACGGTTTCCGACATCTCCAGAGGGATGTCTTTGGGGCATCACACAGACATCTTCACAGGAGTTCTTGTAGATGTCCCGAGAGGGGTGTCTTTAAGACATCTTCAATCAAGGAGAATGTCTTTGGGACATCTTAGGGATGTCTTCAGACACCTTCAGTGCTCATTGTCACCTTCAGTCAGATGCAGTCAGCTTCGACGGTAGATGTGTCCCATGCGCCCTGATCTCTAACCTCAAATCTTTTCTACCAAATTGATCTACTTGATTTGTCTTTAGTAGTAGTAGTAGATTTGTCTTTAGTAAGGATTTTCGTACCGAACATCAGGGAAATCGCCACTGAGGAAAGGGATAAATTTGAGGTTCTAATATTGATTAATTTCATTATATTCTCATTAATGATGTCGGATCGGTATGTCTGGGTTGGGAATCCGAACACATGCTTCAGCTTTTAAAGTTTAGATAATAACCGCCGAGATAGCTCAGTTGGGAGAGCGTTAGACTGAAGATCTAAAGGTCCCTGGTTCGATCCCGGGTCTCGGCGAGAACTTTTACCCTGCTCTCCCCTTTGTCTTTTACCGCCTTTCTTTTTTTTGCTATCCTGGGTATAAGGGGAGAAATTTTTCGAATTTTCTGCCCTCTGATCAGAGGCGTAGCGAGGGGGGGGGGCAGGGGTAGAGAGTTGCCCTCGAGCGCAGGGCTGAGGGGGGCGCAACTCAGGGATAGAAAATTACGCTTTTGTTTAGACTTTATTTGGACTCCAAATAAAATTTGCGCCCCCTCTTCCCTTCGCCCGGGTAACTGTACCGCACCCACCCCTGCTTCAGCTTTTAAAGCTGAAGCATGTGTTCGGATTCCCAACCCAGACATGCCGATCCGACATCATTAATGAGAATATAACGAAATTAATAAATATTAGAACCTCAAATTTATCTCTTTCCTTAGTGGCGATTTCCCTGATGTACGAAGCCTTCTCGACGGACATGCGACGAAAGGTGCAGGCGTTCGGCGAGGGACGCATGGCGGACGAGAAGCTCGCCCTCTGCTGCCTCTCGGAGGCCTGGGCCCGCGAGTGCCGGGTCCGCTGGGTGAGCCAGGGCGAGATCCCCCCTGCAGTCAGGGCCTGGAAGAACTCGGGGAACCTGGTCGCGCCCAGGCACGAGTGGAGTCGCGAGGCGTGCTCCCTCATGGCCTTCAATTCCATCGCTTTTCTCAAGCTGCTCCGGCCGCGGCAGCTGGAGAGGACTCTGCTCTCATGGTCCTTTACTGAGCCTTTCCGGCTCGTATTTTCTCAAGCTTCCTCATCTAGCGTAATTTCGTTCGGGCTCGTTCTTCTATTCATTTTGTTTTCTCAGGCCATTGTTGCAGCTGAGAGTTCGAGAATTTCCATTAGAAATCTCGACACCATTAAATTTTGTCAGCCAAACCATCTCCCAACTTCCTCAGGAAGTTACAAGTTATTGGGCCACGGACCAAAATGTCGTCGCAATAGTACGCGCAAAATTAGGCTGAATGAACTAATAGTTAATGTAAATGCCGTTATTCATTATGTTAGACCTGATACCACTCTCCGATTAAATATTTCGAAGTATAACTTGCGTAGAAGTTTCCAAATCATTTTCCGTCAGTGATCCATCGATCTCATCAGAGAGTCCTTGGATATTTGGATTGGCCAGAGATCATGGCACTCTCGGCGCTTATTCTGCCGCTTTTGTAAATGAAAGGATTACGACAAAACTAGAATACCAGTTTGACCCCGAGATAGACAAGATGGGTCAGCAAAAAAAAAAAAAAACAAAGCTATCATTTTTTGGTGAGTTGTCAATCTGATCGTCAGGCTGCCGATTCTGATGAAATTTGGTAGGCTCTCAGGGTGACTCGATTCCCGAGTTTCAAATCAAAATTCCAAAAACTATGAGATTGACATTTAATTCACTTTTCATTGCCAAAAATGTTCATTTTTTGTTTAAACTTAAAATTCCTTACAACTGACAAAACAAACAGAAAAAAATTAAATCCACGAATTTAAAAAACGAAAGCACGCAATTTGGTTTGGTGCTCAATGAGCCACACGGACGCCCCAAATGAATAATAACCAATCAGTCATAAAATAATAATCAATAAATGTTCTAGGCAGTGCCTCGAACATTTATTGATTCTTCCTCTATAGCGTCATGGAGAGATGGGAGGTCATTTATTCCGTTCTCGAGTTCATATGGAAATTTTCGACAGCACATTTTGTCGCGGGGCGTCAGAAAAGAATTACAACTCCTATCATTTTAGAGCCAGAAGGCTGAAATTCGGCATAAAACTCCAAACCCTATAGGTCTACCAAAAATTAATCAATATTTTTAAGTAATTAAAAATAATTAATTTTGCTTTTGAACAGATCAGGTGGAAAGGACTGTTCCAAAAATCGGTAGGAAGCCTATAACTTAATTTACCAAACAACCACAATAACCAACCAACTCAAACAACCAACAAACCTCATAACACGCTAACTTTATTACTCATATAATGTAATGACAAAAATCGGAACTAAACTGAAGGAAGCAGGCGCAGGCGTAGCATGCAAAGAGCTCATTAATCTTGGAGGGATTCCTATCGATTCACGGAATGGAAAGCCCAAACCCAAGTTTTCTCTCTCATGCATATGCACTTTGTAATTATGGAGAAGACTTCCTTGACGTCCTCATAACGTCTTGGGAAAGACTTCGGTCTCCACTTCCTCTTCTCGTTTTAACGATTTTGTAAATATTGAATAAAATGGCAACACTTGAACACATGAAGGTTAAGTCTAATGCACGACCTTAAGGTCAAGTTCACTGCCAAGACTTGCATTCGCCCCAACCTTCAGGTGTTCGAGTTTGTCCTTATACTTATGTATAAGGAGATGCGCATTCATGCAAAGTTTTGTATTTTATACTAGATGACACTTGAAATTACACACAAATGACTCCCACACAGATAGAAAACTTTTATCCAGAGATCTCATACAGTCGGTTGGCAATGCACTCTACTAGGCTTCAACTTGACTTGGCAGATCTGCAAGAATTTGGAGACTGCAACTTCTGCAGATTAGGACTCACAGAGGGAAAAAAGAAAATTTGATGTTCTCAGACCAATGAAGATTTTATTCAAATGGAAAATTCAATTTGAACACCAAGGTTTAAAAAATTTGTAATATGGGTTCATTGGTAATGACAATGGCAGTGAAACATTGAGGATTGTGACTCTGAGATCAGTCTTCATTGCTCAGCTCCTCCATCCTGTGCAGGCATACCAACCTGATGAGTTGAAAAAATGTTAAAGTTATTCATCCACTTCTTCCAGTCTGGAGATAGCTCATTATGTCCATGAGTTAAACTTAACCAAAATTAAAATTTATTTAATTAATTGAGTTGAGTTTCAAACAGCAAAAAATGTGTGACACCTAGATGGGACAGCCATCTGAGTGGCCTGTTCCTACCTGCAAATGAGCTGAAACAGCCCAGTGTGACCAGTTGCATGAGGTCTCATGAAGGGAGGACAGAAGTGGAGGAGGTGGAGAGGGTGGGTGTTTCACCGGAAACAATGCTGTGAAGGACGTTGGAGGCAATTGTCTTGCGAAGGGTCTGCATCTTCTCCATTGGGATCTTTGCCTTCTCTTCCCCCCTCATGTCAAGCTCTTCCAGGAAGTCCAAGAGATGAGCACTGTCAGAGAGTGACAGAGTTGCTCCCTCTCGTTCCAACAGCAGGCATGCATCGTGAAGCAGGGCCACACAGAAGCTGCATGGATATCAAGGTGGCACTCAACATCGTGGCAGTGATAAAAATGTGAAATTTTCCCCAGGAAGGCTAGTGCTACCTTCGAGGTGCGAGACGAGACCGGACGAGAGAGATGAGGAGTCGGGTTGCCTGGTCAAACTGTTGCTCATTCATCAAGCGATGAAATTCTTGGTACTTCCCTGTAATGAGTTAGATGACTAATGTACATGAAAACAGAAACTGCCATTGAAGGTCAAACAGGATTTGCATTCTTGCAATAAAGGCTCAAGTCATCATTGACTAGGACTTTGAGTGCAATCTTTTATTTATTTTTCTTTCATTTTTGTCCTCTTGTTACTCTGCCTTTAAAATGAAAATAAAACCAAATATCACATGCTCTGAGGCTTACCCAGAAAGAACATATTTTCACTAATGAAGGATGAAGTATCTATGAAGTGAAGAAAGTTGGAATTGCTGAAGGTTCCCTTCTCACTGCACTTGCTCAAGCAGTGATCCACGACACAATTCGTGAAAGACTTGTTTTTCGTCAGGGCAGCCCAGCGGAGAGCATTTGAATATTCTCCATTAGTGAGGCATTGTGCTGCCATGACACGAGCAATCTCCATTTCTGTAAATGTCATCCATTGCACTTATCACACTCATCATGGGAATGAAGCAGAGTCACATTCTCTAAAATTGGCTGAAGACCGCCAATTGCACTGACCAACAGTGGTGAGTCCTCGACTATGGGCCAGACTCATGATCTGCATTGCTCTAATGTCATTTGTGAGTGGAACAGCATTGAGATAGGCCCTTTGCAACTCTTTTCCCAGTGATGGGCAGTGGTCCAGGTATCGCACAAGCACATCTTCTGGGTACATGCAGGCATGCAACTCCCACACATACTCAGTCAGCAGGTACTCCCGCATTTGAGAAGTTTGTCTGAAAAGACACATTAAGCATACCAAAATCAGAAATGAATGTTCCATTACTATCTAGAACCAACCTACCACCAGTAAGGCAGAATTTTCATGCAGAGGATGCAAAGTGAATCAATCTAAGGAGCTGAACAATGCAGAATGTAAGAGAAGTAGGTATGAAGATATTCAGAACTGATCCAGAGTGATAAGCTATACAGGGTATGCAAAAAATGACCAATGACTTTTAACCTAAATATCTCTGCTCATATACTGTATGTATAGTGCAAGTCTTGCAAAAAAATACCTCTATTGGGAGTTGATATATCAAGGTTAAAAGTCTTCTTCTTTTTTATCTGCTATACCCTGTATGTCCCAATTTTTTTGCATTGATCCAGAAATCTGGAGTGAAGTGGAGAGGAGGCAAAAGTGATGTATCCACATCTTCCTACAAGAATTGATTTTTTTCCCTTCCAAACCTTGAACTGCCTCTTCATTTCAATTTATTGAAACCTTCATTGCCCCATCACATCTTGAAAACACCTTTTGAAACCAGCTGTGGAGGCTCTAGGTAGGTTATTTTCTTCACATTAAAAAACTAAAAAAAAAAATTTCCTGAAAGTTTCAAGTGCTTAGGTCATCTGAAGAAAAAGTGACAGACATTGAAAGTGCAGTCACAAAATTTTTTTTTTCACACAAGGTGGATGCAGTCAGCACTGCTAAAAAAAATTTCTCCTTTGATGCCATGAAAGCTGGTTTTTATGCTGTCTTTGATGGCATATTTGGAGTATATGGACTGGAGAAGGAAGAGAATAGCAAGAGTTCTCAATAAAACTGCGGACTCCTTTCTCTGTAGTCTCTTCCCTCTTTATTGGAAACACTACAGGCATTCAGTAACTCATTTAACAAGAGTTCCCAGAAATGTTTAATTGATTTGTAAAATAACCTCGAATTGGCTATGAGTAGTTACCTCTTTATTTAAAATTTAATGTCTTTCCATCTGACCTCTTCTTGTATCCTCTGCTCTCTATCTGTAGGTCATTACCCTTAGTATCAATCTGAACTGCACCAACAGAAATGTGGCTACCATAAGTTTCTGTCAAGACTCAAAAGGCCATCAAATCAAAGAATATTAATTTGAGACTCAATAGATGACTACAGAATTATGTTGATTTGTGCACATTATGAGGGCAAACATTCAAAAGAATTTTGCAATCAACTTGTCATGAGAAAAATTGTCCTAGCAATTATGAAAATGTTGCATTACACCAATGTTGACTTGAATGTAAAATTAGGGATATGCCAAAACACAAAGAAATGCCTAAAGCACTTCTTTGTGTTACGGAAAGATGAAAGAACAAACCTGAGCTCAGATGGAGACTGACTGGAGAGATCAGCTCGCAAGAGGATATCACACAGGTGAACAACAAGCCAGGAATTATCCAGGGTGGCACGGCATGTGCGATATGCCTACAAATGGCCATTCAAACAAGGAAAGAGAGATAAGAATGTGACTGCAATTCAATGCATGCAAAAGAAAATGAAACTCACTTCAGGGAAGTCCATTTGCATAATAGCAAGAAGAACTCTGTCAAGGGAAGAGAGACGCTTGCTGGTGGTTGGATTGATCCCCAGGAAGTGAAGTGTGTCAGCCAGAGCCTCCAGAAATGCATCATAGCGACCACTGGGCTGCACCCAGAGCAAATATGCACCCACAGCTTCATACCAAGAATCAAATGTGGGAGCCAACTCCTCCAATACCTCCACATCCCCACTCATCACCTGGGAAGGATCAGACTCCAAATTCTAGAAGTGCGAGTAAGAGTCATGATGATAAAATGAAAGAGTAAAATGGACAACCTGAGCAATAGATTCCAAGTTGGAGACAGTGCTGAAGACTCCTTCTTTCAATCGAAGAGACAATGCCTCCTGCCACTTCTTCCACCTCAGAGTGAATTCCACCGGGGACAAGTAGATAGTGTCCTGATGACAAACCCCAAGAAAGGAAGCTCTTAATCTGACTGAAGTGCTGGAATGAATGCTGTAAAAGATGAAGGCTTACCAAGAAGTCTAATAGTCCATCCAGAAGCTCATCCATAACCTTGAAAGGAGCTGATTTGGCATTCCAGTGTAAACGAAGTAGTTGCCTTGCCTTGTCTATACGCCCTTGCATGAGAAATGACTGCACCTGTCAAAGCAATAATACCATCTCACCCATGTAGAACTGATCTATGATGAACCTTCCCCAACATAAGCAATACATCAGGTTCTTTACTGACTGCTTTCCAGTAGGAGGGATGGGAAGATGGACTGTCTGAAGAGAGAACTTCCTGATCGAGCTGGATGGCACCATGGCAATGTTTCTGTATCCAAGTCAGGTAATGCATGGACACTGGGTCCCCTATGACAACAGAGATGGAAAGGATTCACATCAGTTGCTTCCAAAGGTGATGAAGGCTTTTAAGCCTTGACTAGGACAGAACAGGGGCATACCTGGCTTGCCCTGAAAGAAAAGGACTTGAGTAAGATGCAACATGAAATCACAGTTGGACAGGATAAGCCGGAGAGAAATCTCCATTTCTCCCCTCATACCTTCCTCTTCCTCTTCCAGAATGGACAGGCAGTGCTCCAGGGCTTCCCTATGAACCATTCAACCTTGAATTTTTGCACCACCACTTCATACACACTTGGACAGCAGGAAGATGCAAGACCTGTATTGAGCAAGTGCATCCTGACAGTGTGAGAGGATGACATCCCTGGGAGCAGATGAAGGTGTCACCTTGTGAAGTCTCTCAAAAATGGCCAAGGATCGATGCACCAGATACTGCATGCTCTCCTGACTCAGGCTTGGTGGCATTCCTATCTCCAACACTGCTCCTAGGTTTCAATGACATTCAGACATTCACATGTGTGCACCTTGACGCTGGTACAGGTTTGAAGAACAATCTACACAAAACCTAAGCCAACTAATGGAATTTCATCAATTCAAAAGTCAGGAATGAATACAGACTCTCATAAATGAGGACAGCAAGAATTTGTCTTGGCAGATACCTCCAACTCAGTGTAAAAATTTTCCCAATAATGCAGATGCCACTATGCATCATCACTGCATCACTCCTTGATGAAGGAAAATTATCAAATTGATTGGACCATTCTCATCATAAATCAAGAATGCCAAATATAAGAATAGGAATGGGAAAGGGACCAAGACAGCACCAGAGCTGAGAGAAAGAAAGATACCTCTCTTCATAACTTCCCTTGTAAACAGAAAAGTATTTCAGTCAGTCTCCTTTCCCTCTTGCCCTTTTCCAGGAAAAGAGGGAAGAAAAGAAAAATGAGTTACCACAATCAATAGTTCTCCTTTTCTTGTCAACTAATCACTTTCATGTATGCCATGGTAGTTTGAGTGCATCTTTTATAATAACTAAGGCCCTATCAATATAGCATCATCCTTCCTGCTGGAATTCCCTGGTTTCACATCAGTGGCATGTTTGGCTCATGAGCCAGGGTAGCAAGGTAAAAGAAAGGGGGTTGCAAAGGCAAATGAGGAGAAAGGAAAAAAGGGAGGAGAGGGGAGGGTCTGAGCAAAGTACTCAGTAGCAATAGGTACTTTCAAGGACTGCCATAGGGGAGAGCTATTCCCCATGGATGGTGTGTCTATACATATGTATAATGAAATGAGTGTGCATCTGGTTAGCAGGCTTACACCAAATCCCCTGAAGGCCCTTGTATCAAAAAAGATGTAGAAGATGTAAATTCACAAGGATAAAATCACTTCAGGTCCCGACTTCCTGAGTAACAAGAGTTCACTGTGTTTCACAGCCTTCTTTGAATGAACTTCACAGTTAAGTGGACATCACAGTAAGATGAAAACAAATAACACATACTGCTAGCACACTCCAAGGTGGACTAAGAAATGCAGCCTGATACATTAGCACTAACCAAAAGCATTTACAACAGGGCAAAACTTTACTTTTTCCATAAATTGATGCAATCTGCCACAAATTATTCAAATTACAGGTTTGAAGATCTACGAGGTGTGGCAATAAAGTTCCAGGACTGTTTTTTTGTGAGTCTGTCAATATTGCAAAAATTATTACCATTTCATGGACTATTAGATTAAACTGTTGGGCAGTGTAGTGTCAGTCCTCATCTGATTAGCATCTTGAATGAGAGTTTGGCTGGCAATGTAGTAACTCAGTGTGTAAGGCATCTGTCATATTCCCAGAGTGAAGCAATGCTGTATCACATTTTGTCTCAAACCGGTCAATACAGCTGCAGCAATCCATCAAATGTTGCAAGAAGTGTCTTGTCATACTTCAAGAATCTGAAATAGTTTTCAAGGTTTTCAGCCAGTAAAAAATAATGATTGGTTCAGCCATCCCTTGGGTGAATGGTCGGTGATGGTTGGGGTTGAGGCAGATCTGAGTGTCTTCACTACTTGCTAAAGGCCTTGAAGGTCATTCAAAATTATTGGAGCACAGCAAGGAACTTTTCAAGACACTTCTGCAACATTTGATGGATTACTGCAGCTGTATTGACCGGTTTGAGACAAAATGTGATACAGCATTGCTTCACTCTGGGAATATGACAGATGCCTTACACACTGAGTTACTACATTGCCAGCCAAACTCTCATTCAAGATGCTAGTCAGATGAGGACTGACACTACACTGCCCAACAGTTTAATCTATTAGTCCATGGAATGGAAATCATTTTTGAGATATTGACACACTCACAAAAAAATCAGTCCTGGAACTTTATTGCCACACCTCATACTTTCTCATATGGAAGAAGACAAAGGAATTACACACATAAATTTCTAATCTTAGAACCCTGAATGGGGAACCAAACACCTTCCCTCCATTAATCTAAAGAGATGCCACTACATGGCAAGAGATAAGGTTACTTACCCTCCTTCTTGGGTGCAAATGCCAAACTGGATCTTGGCCCATATGAAACACTCATGATTTCTTTGAGGCTTCCCTTCACTACCTGCATGAATGTATTCTTATAAAAGAAGCCAACTTAAGAATTTTTTATACTCCCAATTTACTGCTTTTGTGATTCAAGTGAGATTCAAGTTTCATTTTGTGAAAGGATTCAAGTGAAAAATGAAAGAATCTGAGCTAGCAGCACTTCCTCAGGTGCCCTGATTGCCTGGAAATCATGGCAATCCCTCAACACTGCAAAAGAAGGAAGTACATTCACAAGACACAAGCCAGGCATACCTTCAATATCACCAGATTTATTCCAAATCATGATGTGGGATGATACATATAAATGAAATCTTATGACAGACTCAGCTGACAGAAGAGGGTTCATCCAACAAACATGAAGGCTGAAGAACAGTTAAATACCATGTTAAACTTATCCAGCCTTCACAAAATCATGGGAAAGATACAAGAGGATTCCAAGATAACTTCGATATGTGGTATAACAATACAAAATGCTCATGTTTTATTCGACCTACCATCATCAAGATTTTCTTCAATAGAGTTCAAATTGAATGAAACTATACAGCACCATCATATCTCTGCAAAAGTTTTCTTAGAAGTATGCTCACATCACCTGGCTCTTGGGACTTCCAACTTGAAACTGGGTTGAATGATTGTAAAGAATACCAATTTTTTGCAAAATTTTCCTCTTTTAACTCATAAATCGGTCATGAATCACCTAAACCCTCATACAAATTTTTCATAACAAAGGTCTAAGAAGAAACACATCAGAACTAATCTTAATTTTTTTGTTTAAGACACACAATATTCCCTTCTGATGAGGTGGCTCGTGATGAAACGCAACATGAAACATGAAGAGAGTGACGGTGAATTACATTGCTCTATTAATTTGCCCTACAATTGGTACAAGGTATCCCCTGATGTACAGGGAATGCAATAATATATACTACAAGCATAAAATTGCATTCACAAATACTGTCCACAAAATGAGAAAGAGGGAGACAGAATCATAGAAGATACATGCTTAACCTCAACAGGATAATATACACGTGAGTTGGGGCTCCCTTGAAATATATAAAATAGATGCTTTCCTCAAGGGAGATGTCAACTGACTATGCAAATGGATGGAAGGATATAGCAACAAGAAAGAAAAATTGGAGGGGGGAAAATGTCGGGTGTTTCAAAGTATCACAGCTGGATATAGCTAAAACCCCGAGCCTTTCTGCAACCATACACCTTCCTGAGCCATGGGTAGAGATTTGAGAGTGCTTCCACAGTAGTATACTGTACATTCAAGGCAAGGGAGTTGATTTCCAGTGACCACTTGGCATCATCTGACATCTCAGCACCACTAAATGCCAGCACAGGAAGTTAGTTCATAGCCAAAATATCTCATTGCAACTGAGTTCTCTTCACTCATCACTGGTATCTAAAAAAAAGGATTTGTAGTGATTGAGGAGCCATATAAAGAAAATAATCAGGCATTACAGAACAGCATGGAGGCGGGGGGGGTTGGGGGATAGGAGAAAAGTGCCAAAAATATAATATGCAATTCATTCTCATTGAGTGTGACTGTGAATAGATACCTAAGGAAGGTGTCAAGCAAGGAAAGGGTTCTGAGTGGGATCGGAATTGTAAGCAGAAGATGAGGTCGAAGACACAGAAGCAATGAGAGGAGGGGGCATGCCAACTGGTGCCCATGACCCTGCTGTGGCATCTTGATGGAAGCTCTGGTGGGCTTGGGTTTTCATCTGGTTCAGGGAGGGGCGGGGTGGGGTCACAGATTGGAACGGGTTAGCCTGCCCCACTGCAGTCATGGCAAATGGATTTCCTCCTGGTAGAAAACATAACATCTTCATTCCTTAGCACCACATGGATGCACAAATGATTCATGCAAGAGGATACAGTACATCAAGCCAATGCTCCTAAATTCCTTCATTCACCTGGAGGTGACTCAGCTTGTCCCTTTGTCCTCAGACTTTCAAATATTCCATATACTTTATGGGGAATCAAAAGTTTCTCTCCTGGATAGCCAGTTACCTTAATTTCTCACACACTGCATTAGGTGCTTTGTACTACTGGCAATTGACTAATCCACAGCTTCATTTGGAATCTTTGAGTCTTTGGCACCAAGTCAATCCTTCAATCACAAAAGCATGATTGGTCATGGCATGATATTTCCATATAGTCAGAACTGAAGTGCAAGACACCATCTTTTCATGCATTTTTCTCATAACTCACACTCATGGGCAAGATGAGCATGGTTAAGCATAGTTGAGCATAAGGGTCCCCCATAAAATTTCCTCAGCTATTGTACCATGATGTGGAGTGCTATAAAGCACATTCCATCACTCACATTACACTGTCAAATGCCATCAGTGGTATTCATAAAGCCTGTGCTTTTCTGTTTGCAGTAGGCAGTTTAAAAATCAAGAAATAACCAAAAAAGTGATACCTTGTTCATGTCAAATCTATCAGCATAAAAACCAGCACTTTATGCAGGTTTGTGCATGTCCTTCCCTTTGTTGATTTGGCAGGAAAGAGAGGGTTTACATAGTTAAAAACATTCAAATGGATTGCTATTTTTGTGCAATATTTTGACAATTGTGTGTCATTACTATGAAGCAAAATTGTGGAAGATATGGGACCATAAATTGGCAGGAATATTTGCTCAATAGGTGATAAGAGTCTACTCTTAAAATCCTCATTACACCAATACTATCCTCAATTTTCCAATTTCCACAGTGAATTCATGTCATTGTTTATTGCCAAAACCATTTGATGCAGGAAGCTGTAAATTCTACAATATGTGTTTTGATCATGGAAATGAATCTGTAATTTGACTCCCTCTCATGTAATCTCAGTTATCAGTGTAGCATGTTACCACCCAGTGCCACAATGGTTAGCTTTCCAGAGTAACAAATTTACAAGAATATGTACATACCACAAATAAGCCTGCTTTTTCATACTTATTCCTATGTTTCTATTACATGTCCAGTCTGTTTTAAATTTCCTCTTCATTGATGAAATTCAAGATTATTTTATCAACAACAAATTCTATCAAAATGCCTACAAGCAAAATTTTTCCTACTTTTGAGCTTTGATGTCACAGTGTCCATTTCTTCATTTCTGCATGTTAGTACATTCTTTTGCCATGCATAGTGAGAAAAGGTACAAAGAAAAAGACTGAAAGGATTAGACTGACCAATTGCTCCAGGTGGCTTTTGTCCAATCAGATTGTCCAGATTCACAAGGTTGGAGTTCTCACCCAAGAAATCCTCTGGCTTCTTCCTTCGTTGCATTGATTCTGCACTTGAGTTTGCATCTCCCAAGAAGTCCTGCATTCCATTTTCTGAAAATTTGCAATCCATCAGTCACACTTCAAGGTAACAAATGAATGCAGGCCATCTCCACATCCTCAAATCTGCTTGGTTGAATGATACTTTGCAAGAGGGAAAATATAAAAATATATGAGGGGTGATCAAAGAGTTCTGGGACTTAATTTTTTCACAAAGCTGTGGTGACTCTTTCCGACTATTGATGGTTATATCCTTCAAACTAGTCCTCTTTGGCATCTACACAAATTTTTTTATGTTTCTTCAGCTGCTGGAAACACTGCTGACATTTATCTTTTAGAATCATCAACAGTGCTCATGTCAAGTTTACAATTTTGCTTTGAATGCCTGAAATCCCTTTCATTTTAGCAAACTCTTTAGCTTAGGGAACAAGAAGAAATTACTAGGAGCTAAGTCTGATGAGTTGGATGGCTTATGAAGCATGGGGATTGGTAGGTAGGTCAGAAACTGCTGAAACTGAAAAGGGAAAGAAATTTCAGGACATTTAAAGCAGCGTTATGAATGCATCATGAGTGTTGCTGGTGATTCCAAAAGATGAGTGTGAGCAATGATTCCAGTGGCTGAAGAAACAGAAAAATTTGTGCAAATGCCGAAGAAGACTACTTTGAGGGATATACCCATCAGTAGTTGGAAAGTGTCACCAAAGCATCATAAAAAATTCAGTCCCAGAACTCTTTGATCACACTTCATACAAATAAATTTCTGTCGTGGACAGAAATTAAGAGATGATTCAACTTAAGCCAACAAAGAAAAAGATGAAAAAGCAAAACAGTGCTCTTCTCAAAAGTTCAGAAGGATCAACTCTTGCCATATGAAGGTGCAACAAGGGTTAAAGAATAACATTGCAGCAATTCACTTTCTTCAATTTATGCATGAAACAAGAAGGGCAGACTTAGGGATTGCTGAACATGGTTGTGATGCAGAGTTCCTTCCCAAAAAGTACAAGGAGAAGACAACAGTGTGATGGAATGTCAACTTGAGCCAGTATATCAGTCATTACAGCCGACGCCTTGAATAAATCAAGAAGAGAGGTGCAACTCAAGACCAGAATAGTGTGACAATTTCTGTCCATACACAGATGATCTCAGGAGGAAAGCACTGATGGGGTCACTGATTCAAAACAGAAAAGAGATCTCATGCCTTATACCTGGTACACACAGTGATAAACTCCATTTATGGGGAGTGGGTGCCTGGTGCCAATTAATACATATGAATTGAGATGCATGTGTTTCTCCTTGCAGTTTTGCTTGACATTCCCTTGAAGAAAAGGGATTGGCAGCTCTTGATTTTTTAAAACTTCAGACTTCCATGTGACCACTGTGATGAAGAAGACTTTGTCTTAATCACAGTGTATTTACATCTCAAGTTTTTTCATGGAGTTCCTGATTCTGTTTTCTTCATCTCAACAGTGCATGAAGTGATCAAGATAAAATCTTCATGAACTGCAGGGTATGTGAAACAATCATATCAAAATACTTGTGATTGATCCCCTTTGCTTCCACATTGATGAAAAGGCTTTAAAAGTTGTGGTTGTAATTATCTAAACTTTTACTCATTTAATGCACAGTTACATTGCTTTTGACAAGTTTTTCATTAGAATATTTAACCTCAACTTTCTTATAAAAACTGACCCTCTGCTTGCTTATCTAGCTAGGTGTGCTACTTTGGGATCATGCAATCAAAATTCCATTGCTTGTGCATCTGCCACAAGGCATCTGAAGTTGTTGTGCAGAAGAAAAATTGGCCAGCCTGAGCACACATAAATGAAAGCTGATAACAGTCCCATGAAGATGATCAATTTGAAAGAAACTGTATGCCGACCCTCCTAAAAAAAAACGTGCTAAAAGCAGTTTCATATTGGCTAAATATGCAGTTCATGCATAAACAGCTTCTTTGGCCCATTTTAGGAATATGCTGGCAATATAAAACTTGCTTTGAGTTCACCTTCATGAAGTCAAAGCATAGGAGCACACGAACAGCAAGTATCAGTGCACTACCAAGGAAAATCGATTACACATGCAAAAAGCCTGAAAAGCACTCAAGGGTATAATTTGCAGACATTTTCCATGAAAACATTGCTTCATGCAATATGCACATTAATTGCATGTGTATTCTTTCAACTGCATCAATAAACTATTCTAATCACATTCTTATGCATTTTCTCAGGGCTATAAAAGCAGAAATTTACATTCTTAAATTAAATTATTATAATGGAGAATAACCTTTCAATAGTTACCCAAAGTCTTTGACAGAATGGACAATATATTTTCAAATCCAGCACCAATAAATAAATGAAAATTATGTTTTCCATGTAGATTCATTAATTCTTTGATGGCAGTCACAGTTCTGCATAATCACTAATCATGCTTCACACTTGAAAGAACAGTGGGTGACTGTCAGAGCAACTGAAAAATTACTAAATGCTAATTGACCACCTACCAATTAGTACTAATCATGTACAGGAGCATGCAACATGTACAGGGTGGCTCAAAAAAAACAAGCTATTGACTTCAGCGAGCTGTAAATCAGGCTGCAGTGCCTTGATTTGAGTAAGCTTTTAGGTACACATTATTTAGGTACACATCTCTTTTGCAGAAGATATAAAATTATATAGTATGATAGCACAAATTTTTTGCTTTATCTGGATGAAAATGGCCATCCCCATTTGGAAAACTGCTGCAACAGTACCTGGCTGCCATTTGAGTTGGAGCAGAGACAACTGTTGTTATTATGAAAACACTTTATCTTCTGTATCAATGTTTTAAGATGTGTTTCTTCCTTCTCTCAGATTTTTTTTTCTAAAGCAAAGCAATGCCGAGCTACTTGCATGAAGACTTAGTGGTGATCATGCAAGACCTTGCAAGTTTAAAAACAGGATCACCAACTTGAAAGCAAGGTAGTTAAAGGCCCAGAACCCAAAGAACTGAAATGAATGCTGAAAAAGTTTAAATGCATGTACTGAATCAGGAGGTTCAACCTGAAAGTTTGTTTCACCAGAAAGTTCATTAATCATTTTTCTGACTTCCCATCCCCTTTAAACTCAGGTCTTGATCACTGCCAAGTCTTCATGTGAGTAACTCAGTATTGCTTTTGTTCTGCAAAAAAAAAAATCCGTTGGAATAGGAAGAAGCAGATCTTAAAACATTGATACAGGAAATGAAATATGTTCTTAATAACAACAGCTGCTGCTGCTGTGACTCAAATGGCAGCCAGGGACTGTTGCAGCAGTTTTCCGAATGGGGGGCTGCCATTTTCATCCTGATAAAGCAAAAAATTTTTGATATTATACCATGTGATTTTATATCTGCTGCAAAAGAGTTGCTTCATATGTGCCTAAAAGCTTGCTAAAATCAAAGCACAGCAGCCTGATTTACAGCACACTGGAAGTCAATAGCTTGGTTTTTTTTTGAGCCACCCTATAGATAGATAATAGGAACATCTCAAAATATGCTAAGAAAATATATAAAGAGAGAGAAAAGAAAGGCAGCAGAGAAAGGAGCTTCTGCAGGTATGGAGAAGGAATCACCTTTAGAATGAGTACTGTGGGTAAGGTGCAGGGATGCAAAGGCTTCGAAGTCTGGATCTTGGATGGAATTCCCAGTGGGGGAACTTGTTACAGGGGCCCAGGGGTCATTTACTGCTGGGTAGTATGTACAAAACAGTCATCATGAGTATGAAATAGAATCACATCACAATATTTGAGAAACATTAATATTAAATGACTATGGTGTACCAGAAAGAATACCACAGAGAATGACATAAGACAGCAAGTTAAATTTCCAATCAAATAGAGAGAAGGGTGGTGTTGTTACCACTCCTTAAATCCCTCATAAAACTCAGGCATCCAGATGAGACACTTGATAACATTAGAATGATTTTAAAAAAACAGAGCTCAAGAATAGGGAATTTGTTAATGCAACAGTACAAAAAAGTGAAATTTCTTGAAGGCTGAACAATTTACTATAGCCTTTCACAAAAGGGGGACAGGATTGCATGTGATATACAATCTCATTAACACCCCTCCAAAATATGCATGACCACACAATCCAATTGCTGCATAGATAATACATTCTTCAGGTCTCTTCAGAGGTAGACTGCACAGTGGCTTTAGTTGGAATATGACCCTTTCACAGCTTATTGTTACAGGTAAAGAAGGATATTATGTACAGAGAGATACTGAATGCAATGAATCTATACAATGGACAATGTGCAACAGGATATTATGATTCTAGGATGACCATTGAGGCTTGGAAAAACAAAAGCTTAACCCAATCACACCATGCAGGAATGGGAGAGGGTTTGTGGGTCCATTTTGATAAGCAGCAAGGTGCATATAGATCGAGGGGCGGGACCTGCACTCCTATAGCTCATCCCCTGTTCTTGGAATTCTCAAAGGGATGACAAGAAGTGTAAAAAAAAGTAGTGATAATTGTAGCACAACTCCATCTTCCCAAGAAAGTATCATAATGCTAAGAGCTTTAATAGTGACATATCTTCCATACCTGTGGGAAATTTCAACTTTGAATATAATTTCACTCATTTTTATAGAGGCTTCTTACACACAGTTGTTTGAATCAACTGCTTAGATAAGGCTAACTTTTAAAAAGAGGAAGGAATGTGTGTCATTCAATTTTTCATCCACAAAGATAAAGGTACTCATGGGTGCTGACAGCATTGATTAGTAGTTTGAAGAAATCTACAGAGGATATGCTCTTCCAGCAAGCACAGTTCCCAGGTGGATGCAGCTACTTTGAGAGGGACAGCTCTTTCCTCCTCCTTTTAACACTATCCATACTTCATTAGTTGATTTAATCAACTGAAGTCTACAAAAAAACATAAATATAATCACATGCAAAGCTAAATTTCAGACAGGAGTAGAATAAAAAAACAAGGCTAATGAAGCACTTGGCATTACATTGCTGCTCCTGGAAAAATAAAGTAGTTGTGCCACAATGATCACCACTATTTAAAAAAACCTCATAAATCACCTGTAGCATCAGAAGTGAAACTTAAATTTGACCAGAAACCTGAGTACCACAATAGATATTGCATGCAAGATACTGACCAAGGAAGACAATGAAAGTAATAATCCACTGTGGAGGTATTACATATAAAGTGGAATGAACTCAAGAAAGAAGAGACCTGGCTTAGGGCTAACGGTTCCTGTAGTAGTAGGCATCCAGGGATCATTGGGGACAGGGGAGGATGGAGTGCCCATCCTCTTTGGGGGCTGTGGCCCTCCCCATGGATCTGAATGTACCTGCAAACATTATGTCAACTCCATTGAGCACCAAGAATGTAGATACATTCAACAATGTCCTGAGTTTCCTTTGAATTTCAATGAATGAGTAGACTCTCCTAGAAATTCAAGCACTCTAGCCTCTAAACTAAGGATCACTATAAGCACTTACAATTGAAATGCTACCTAAAGATGTAACCACATTGAATTCTGATCCAATGGAAGAACAATGTCACACTTGTGCAACACGCAGTAGCAAAATTGTCAAGTCTTCAATTCTTTATGAAAAAATCTGATGGAAATTTGAATTAAAAACAATAGGTCAATTAGGTCTAGACTCTACAAGTTAACCCATTCCCTGGCATGACTTCCAGGTCATCAGGCAACCATTGGAAAAGTCTTGACATGTGCAAGCACCAGAGAATGACTTTTAAAAGATTTGTAGTGACAGACTCACAGGTGGAGGTGCTGTTGCAGGTTCATTGGCCATAGGGAAACCCCAGGGATCAACAGGAGAGGTCTGTGACTAGAAAAATCAACAAGGAACATCATCAGAGTTTGCACCAACTGAATGCAATGGCAAAAACTTAGGGAATGTTCCCCATACAAGGAGCCACAGAACCTTGACTTCCCCTTTGTACCAGACAACCCAAAACAGGGCTATACATTTTTTTTCATATCTGAACAAATGAGCACTAATTTGCTCCTTGATGAGCTTCATCAACTGATATGGCAGCAATTTTATCATTTAAACCATCTGTTAGCAAACTTCTGATAAATTCATGGATTTCCTATGAAAAAGTAAAGGTTAAACAAAACCTGCTCCAAATCAAAGTTCAGAATACTGCCCAAAAGTTTATACTTTCTTAACAATCGCCAAAGGGTATTGTCCTAATCAGATGCAGCATTGCAGAAGTACCATTTGAGCAAAAACTCTCATTACTGCCAACAAAAAAAATCCTAAGCCAGCCTAGCTCCAACATCAACTATAATTAGTCCTGAGTAACCATTTATCATTCAATTGGTTAAGTGAGAATCTGCCATTTGCTAGTAACTTCATATTCTACATAAAGACAACACAACACACATCAGATGAGAGATGTACAGGACAAGGGAAACAAGACAGGAAAAGAATTGGCATGCCACAATTAGGTATGAAACCTTGATACTCCTACTTACATGGTACATGGAAGGAGGAGAATGGACAGCCCAAGGATCAGAGGCTGAAGCAGTAGGTCTTGGATTCCCAAGATCAAGATCCAAATCTAGGATACTCATTCCAGCACTCTTGGTTTGACGCCTGCAAAAATGGATTCAGCTTATTGAATGCACTTTCTTGAGGCCAAATACATGTCATTTCTTTAGAGGTCATAAAAACCATGTGGCAATCCAAGACAAAGAAAATGCCCAAGCCTATCGGCCTACATAAATCTGAAATCACAATGAAGCAAAATGATGTTTTTGCTTCAGCATATTTCAATATATATAGGTGCATGTGATGAGAATGAAAACAGCATCCAACACTACATGAATATGGTGGTACAATTCCAGCAGTAAAAGATATATATTGCTAAAACAATAAGCCATCCTAAAGCATATCAATGGTGCAGACTTACAGTTGTATTATTATTATAAAATTATATATTATGGTATCTCACCATGACATTGGTGAGATACCATATTTTTATGTTAAAAATCTAGTGCAGCCACTGCTCAGGCACAACAATTCTTGAATGGAGACATCTCTCACAGATGGAGCTCAGCAACAGGTTTGATTGCTTTGCATTTTAAACAGATAGTTCAACACTGTTCATATGCATACTTAGCAGCTAATAGATATTCTTTGAAATCACCAGAACATTTTCAGAAGTGAGACTTTCTCACTCCTCCATACCATCACATTTCCCTTGACACCATATCAAGCACTACATGGGAATCAAGTGACATCTGCCACTTAAATAGCTAATCATCAATGCCAAACCAACAATTTTTTTTGGAGAAGAACCCTTTTCTTTTCTCTGTATCGACTGACACCTATGCACTCCTTCCCAAGATGGCCACCTTCCTTTCGTAACTTTAACTTCTGTTCCTTTTCACAGCTTCACTCCATCAAGGATGTATCAGATTTGACCAACAGATTCAAAGTCTGCTTGCCTAACTTTATTAATCACTTAGTGACACCAGTTTTTACAATGATGGTGGAAGGTACTATCTAAGACAGTGGTTTCCAGACTTCTTTGAAACACGACCCACTTGCCAACGTCCAAAAAAGTTTGCAACCAACTGAAATCCAGAATGAGGTATTTTAAAAGTAATTATGGCATGAAGAAAACTCATTGACCTTTCTTGCAGCTCTTGTTTTATTCTGAGCATGACTTGTGCATTTGGTGCACTTTGCAGAGGTGCTCTATTCTGGGAGGAATCTTTCCCAAGGTAAGTTGGAGATCAATCTCCTCTTGCAGCAATGAACGAAACTTTGCTTCTATCAAAGTCAGAGCAGAGAATCCTGTTTCACACAGATATTTGATAGTAAAGCCTGAGTCACCTTTACAAGAAGTGGATATTCTTGAGTTGAGAGTAAGGTGAAAGGAGAAGGAACGGGGGGAGGACCACAGGGAGAAGTGTGCAAGGGCTGAGCTAATTCAATTACTCAGGATTGGTATATGCAGATATAGCATTTTTTATCGTGGGAAACTTGTAGGCCTCTGTGACCCACAATTTGGAAACCATTGCTCTAAGGCACATATTGTTCTGTTACATATAAACAAGGGAAGGATGCTTGTCTTCCAGTAAGTCAATTCCAGCCGACACATAGTATTAGACAGGAGTGGAGAAAGTTCTGTAACCTAGTAACCAGGTTACCGGGAAGGGTAGTGACCGATTGGGAAGGCAAGGCAGGTAGAATAAATAAATAAATAACAGAAATGCGAGGGGGAAAGAAGGAAATAATGCAAAAAGTATGAGCAGGAAGACAAGAGATGGTCTGAGTGTTCGGGATGTGGCATGGTAATGGATTGAAAGAAGGTAAATGACAACTGACTACAAAAAGACTTAGCCCCCAAGAGGCATCAGGAAGATGATATCGGTGGGATGGAAAGCACCGGAGTGGAATTGGGAAGATATCCCCATGTGACTGGTATTGCCAAGATCAGGAACAAGGATATAGACCTCCTGTGGAGGTGGAATGATCTCAGTATTAGATCAAATTCACCTCACTGTAAAACAGAGGCAGCCTTGTCATTGCCATGAAAAAGGAATTATAATTTTGAATGTGTACTTCACAAGGTGAGAGAAACTGATCACCAAATTAGACAGCATCTTGTGCCTCAGAAACCCTTTCCTTTTCTCTTTAATCAATCAGTCGACAGTCAGTCTCGTGTCACCAGGCTTTCCACTGACAGATTAATATTAATAAACCCTTTGTGCCTTTTTCAAGTGACCTTATTTGGCCTCATGGTTGAGAGAATATATTGATCTCTATCCCCCCATCAAGCACCCTCCAATTTCATTCACCTCTCTTGATTCCACACCTCACACACATGGCCCTATGCCAAACATAGAAATTCATATGTTCTGCCAACACATATACATCCTGTCACTGAGAAAATATCTGCTGGTGTCTAGCGATGAAGTGCCATAATTGAACCCTTAAACCTTTTAGCAAGCCAAAGAGCTCATAGTTCAAGCTCTTGATCATTTTAGAGAAAAAGGAGCTTGCATTTCTTACAAAGAATGCAGCAAGCATACAACTTGAAGTTAAATGGTGTTTCAGAGATTGTTGACCAACTGAATAGTCAGAAGGGGAGGCTTGAAAAATGAATTCAATAAAATCAATATTCCATTTCAAAATTGAAAACATTGAAGTGCTCCTTTACAGAAAAACCTTTAAAGACCCTTTATAATGACATTTATTCAATTTTATTGAATTCCAAGAGCTTCTGAATGATTATGTCCCTCTGTGCACTCCCCATTAGATCCTGCTTGCTAGGGGCCTACACATTGGTGTTTTCATTGAATCACAAGTTGTGGCTTAAAATTGACCTCTTGCCAAGCACCCCCTCCCCCATTTGCCTCTACTCAGCCCCCATAACACCAGGTCACTTCACACACCTGCTAAACTGGGAAGGTAAACTATGGTTACCAGGAAGCAGAAGAATGTTTTCCACCTCTGGCACCAGATATTGAGATTGGATGAGCCTTAGTTTGAACGATTAAGTATCAAATAATCTGGCACATTTAAGGAACTGACTTTGTCTTGAATTCTTCTTCACTTTGAGATAGAGCCAGTTGCAATCGAACGTCATCACTCTTCTTCTTGTGCTCTTCTTGGTCGGCTTCCTCTTTACTCATTGCAAGAGCCAGCTGGAGCTGCAACTCCTCCTCGCCAGCGGTCTGAGGCCTAGCCGATTCCAGGTCTGAGGAGATGCGCCTTGATGCTGCAGGAAAAGTGACAGTCAGGACCAACTTTAATCCCAGCTTGCATAGGAATCAACTTGTACTCACTCCTGTTGATGACTGTGTTCTCTCCAAGATATGACTCTGATCTAATTGGGACCTATAAAAACAGGGTTTATTATTAACAAAAGACATGTCATAGATGAAAGACCACATCATTATGGAAAACATATCAGTTAAAAGCATTTTCTGAAGAAGCAGTGGTAAAATGAGGCAGCCCTGATAGAGCATAGAGGGAAAAGTAAAAGACTCACATCAGGGGACATTGGGGTGGAAGGAGAGCTCATATCCTGGGGGATCAGCAGCACAAGGACAGAAAAACACATTCTTGTCAAGACATAAGCTCTACAATTATTTATACTTTCAACTGATAGGGCAATGGAAGTGATGAGACAGCACAGCAGATCCAAGCTGGAAATCCTTTTTGTTGGTTCAATTAGTACTGTACTAGTTAGTAATAGTTTGCAAATACAGCATGCCATAATTCTCTTAAGATAGTGGCATTATGTGCAGTAAATCTTAGAAGAGGCACTCAAATAATAAGGGCCACTACATTATATTTTCATTTCAAGCACATTTATAAATATACCTCCCTCTTTTCAATGGAGCTCTGGATTCAGCTAGGCAACAACACAAAGCAAGCAAGCTAACAATAAGTAAGGCTTTGCCAAAAATCATGATATTGCAATATTTATTGATATTGTTTTTCAACTTCATATCACCCCCTCCTGACTTCTCTTGCATGCAAGCATGGCTGATTAGAGGAGTGACACAATTGATGAAGGAAATCTAAACATGGAAGCTTTTACAACCATTACCCATTCCCCTGAATTACTAGGCCTAAATGGGGCAGGCTCAATGAAGGGGAAATGAAATGCAGGTTTCATTCCAGAGCAATAATCCCTAGCCATTAGACCTATAAGAAGGAGCAGGCATACATCACAATATAGCGCTACCCCCAGTTTCTAATATGAGGCTGGTATAACTGAAAGGGAAGAAATGAGACAAGTATCACCATAGCTAGATGGCAACACCCTGTGATTCCCCTAACACATTTGTTCTTGGGTTTTTTTTTTTTCGGAAAATTAAGAAGACCATTCAATTAGGAAATCCCCCAGGTCATGACCTAATCACTGGCAAAAAACATCTATAATCTTTTTGTTGAAAGTGAACTCCCATTTTATATGAATGAGTAATTCTGTTCTGCATCATGAAGCCTTATTAATCACATTTCCAATTATGAATTATTTATGCTATCATGTCCAGTATACAGTTGGCAACATCAATCCCATCAAAGCTCATATTGCACAGTGCTAACTCTAATGAAATGAAACCACAACCTTCTGAAATCTCTGCAATTCCTACAAATGCATGTACATTTTCCATATAGAGTAGACAAATTTAAAAAAAAACACACAACTCCTCATGATACCACTGAAGGTAGGACAGTGATCATCACACGATATTGAAAGATAGGGTAAAATATCTATTTCAAGGTGTTAATGAAATTTTATGGTCCCTGGATGTAAAGAGTTACTTCAAGTGAATTTCATACTTCTTAAATATTGCTTGGCAAAAGAGACAAAATATTTGGCATCTAAAGCATGATAATTTCTTAGTTACATGTTTCATCATGTTACACACCACCTCCCATAGTAGCATGTTCTCACAATGCTCATATAATGATTGGACAACCATAGTATTTTAGAGGCAGTACTTTTATGGCCAGCATATTATATGTTATCATCATGTTATATTTAGTCCATGCTGTTCAAGGACCATTTGCAAATGAATTTTTTCTGGAAACCATAAGTTGGCAAGAAATTAAAAATGAGATAATTCATACTTGCTAGAATATTTTCTCCCTTGTCACCTATTAGGAGAAATGCAGATGCATAAAAAGCAAAGCAGAAAGAAAGCAGGCAAGGCAAATTGGGTAGGCTAGGAAAAATCAAGTATTATATTAACAAGCAAAAGAAACTGAAGGACTTTGGTTAAGGGAAACAGAGGAATTTCGATCCCAGATATACAAATTATTTAAAACATAGGCACCTAGCAATAGGTTATGAGGAAGGTTATGACTTATAGGTTATAGGTTATGAATTATGAGGAAGTTCATTGGAATAGGAATAATGGATGAATGAATTTTATCCCAAAATGCAAAACAGTTCATCAGGACAACACTGGAAGCATAAATAGGCCCAATGCTTCAAGGCAGAAATTCACAAGTACAAGCAGCAATACTGGTATTGTATTCTTTCAGTTGAATCATCTTATGTTTTCAAAAATAAGAAATTGGAGAGAAGAAAAAGGAAGTGCTGATAAATCTCATGATTATGCAAAAAAAAAGGATATCAGCAACTCTTTAATCCTTTTTATATCAGAGTTGAGACAAGCACTGCACAGTACTCAGAAGCTGCCTGTCAGCATTTTAAGTAGAAGTTCCATTCCCTGGCTGCAAGATACCTGGAATTTCCCATTTCATGCTATATTTACAATAGCCTATAAGGGATGTAACATGCTCTGCAGTTTCACTGTGTTTTCTTAGGCATGCATAAAACTTTTCCATGCAATTTATCCCTGAACATCTTTTTCAATTCAGACAGTAAAATTGTCAAGCAACAGATATTTCCATTTGCTGTAATGAAGAATGCTCAAGGAGCCAAGAAGGAAGCTGTCTCTAGGCAGGGTGTGCACAAGGAAATAAACAGGTTTGGTTATGAATAACATTTCCTTTGCCCACTTTATAGCACTATAGTTCAATTTCAGAGCTTATCAGCTGCACCAAATTCCACTACAAGGCTTGAGAAGCAGGTTGGCAATAAATACAATGTTTTCAGATTGAATTCATGCCGCCCCATGGGAGTGCTTCCATTAATTACAGGTAGTGACATCCTCCACATGGGTGGTTTCATGCATAATCTTAAGAAATTGATCCTCTCAAAGTTTTACCTTCTCCTTCTCCCCTATAGGGGGGAAGGGGTATGACATTCAATCGGAAACCAGTGGAGGTTAACAAGGTTGACAGAGATATATACCAGGCTCACAGGGCATTCTCATCATATAGAAATTTTGATGCCTAATAGTGCAAGAAGATGAAAGGACAGATAATTACTAGTGCAGTTGGTACTGTAGGCATGTAGATGAGGCACCATAGAGAAATTGTATAAAGTAGAAAAGGAAAAAATTCAGAACAAATGAAGCACAATGCTAAACTGAATGATATCACACTATATCTCCTCAAGCTGAATACCTCCTGTTCATAGCTTAATTACAGGTGTAAAAGCTAATAAGGGTTCAAAATAAGAGAGATGGACTTGAGAAAAGGCATACATTGGATTCACTTCCAAGGGCAACAATGGATTGAGAAAACCGTTCCTTGGCCTTCAATGCTCTTGCCCTCTCACTCTTAAACTTCTCTTCATCGGTGAGCAGAGCTACCAGCTGCTTCGATTTCTCCCGTACATTCATTCCCAAATCCTTATTTTCTTCCACATGCTGAAAGTCCTTAAGAGTTTGAATCGCAAATATGTTCTCCTTGCACTGCTGGGCCACCTTCAAAGACAACCAAAAAATATCATTAAAAAATTATAAAGAATAAAAAATGTTATGGCCATGGATGAGGAACTATGGGGATACTGACTTTATCACTGCCTGTCTTGATGAGATATTCCAACAAAACTAAGGCCTTATAGACATGTCTCCAATTCTTCCCATGGTCATTCAGTCGCTTCCAGATCATTTGCATGATTTCACTGAAGGCAACAACATTGTGAGTCATGTCTGCAACCTCAGACATTAAAGTGCTGGAAGGACCCCAGGGGTCATTGCTTGTTGCTTCACGCACTTTCACCTATATTTAAAAGGTAAGAGAAGTATGAATCTTTATGTCCTCATAATCTATACATAGCTCAAATCAAGTACAGCAGAGTTCAAAATTGTTAGATTATCATTGAAACTTTCTCACCTGAGCATCAGTGTAATTGTGAGCGATGTTCTTCAAGTTTCTTTTCAAGCCTGCTACATTAACTGCCATTTTCAGAACTCCCACCTAGGTAATGTCAGTATTATCCTTCAAGCCTCAGGCCAAGTGGCCTACTATCAGTTGTAATTCTTTGTACCTGAAAAAGAAATTGCAAGTAAAATTTAAAATCTGATATTATAATCACAAACTGAAAAACCTTCAATTCATTGCCCACTCCCCACACTTGCTGCCAAGAAAATAGTGACAAAATCATAGGGCACTGAATAACAACATAAGGATTGCAAGCATATTGTAGAGCAATTTTCATGGTAAATGGAAAATTGAATGCATGAATGTAACAAATGGTAAACTTTAAAATAGAATACCAAAAATCATGAGAATGATACTTCTTGAAATGTGACCACATTCAATGTACTTCCATCCTGAACCACCACTATGCAATTGCCAGTGTCAATTCAGAAAACCTACAGCTACTGGTTGTCACATACATAGCTTAAGCATCTTCAAATGATAGAATGGTGACATACATTTTAAGCTAGACATACCTTATAAAGGTGAGTATGTAAAGTGAATATTGAATGATAGGAAAGACATTAGGCACCTCAACCAATACAAAGTAGCACATATAACTCATTAATAGCAGGAGCTCTTATATGAATCACCATTTTTTTCTCCTCACATCCCACTTTGTTCTGTTTGATCCAGTGACTGGTCAGGAATGACTCACCTGGAATATGAATGAATGTAAGACTTTTCTAAGCAAAATTTCCTAGTTCATTCAAATTCCATGAACTCATTCAATGTGTTATGGTGAAACTAATGAGTAATACTAGACATCAATTTTTCCAGTCCACACTGACCTAGATGGCATGAAATTGCCCATTCGTTCATGAATCAATAGGTCTCACTTAATATGCACTAGGAAGCAGAGTCCCTCTCACTCAAGTCTGCAACACCACATTATTCCTTTCTGATCCAGTCTGTACAGCATGAAATATCTAAATAGGCTATGATTGACATGGAAACTGCAGGTCATTGCCAATGCCACTTGGGCAGCAATTCTCATAGGAAAGAAAGACTTCACATAAGGTGCACTCAATTCAGTCAACAAGTGTCTTAGGCCTAGGCTAGGAGCTCCATATATTAATGTAAAAGGTTCTGTCAACCATGACTATGCCTACTTACTGGAGAAAGTCGATCAGCTAATACTTATGGCCTTCACCCAAGGAATTATGTGCTTCTTTCCATAACATATCAAATTGATACTTCATATTTTATTCAAGGGACAGATCTCTCACTAAGAAAAAGAAGAAAAGTTGTTGCATTCCTTCTTTCCCATCCAATTTTAATAATTGGCATGCAAACACTCCTCTTTGCATAAGGAAACCACTATCATGTCACAGTCGTGATCATGACCTACCTTGCATACATATGATGTCACAAGACAATATTCCTGGAAGAAAGTCTTCGTAAGGCTTCAGCCTCGCATTTTAAGATACCCCTGCACAGTTTACACCTACGATCGGCCTAACGGAATGGACTTCTTTCCCTATGATGCTCGCGAAATCTGAGAATAACGGGCAGTCAGGCGCACGCTGAGAGGAAGGGAACAAGCGAGCGAAGGCATTCACATGCTCAAGTAAGCAGTGGCAGCCACGCCAAGAACGAGCTCAAGCGTCTGTGAGCGGACATACTTCACGATGACGTCACCTAAGGAGGCCAGTGGAGGGGAAGGAAGCACCACGCTCGTTCATTCGACGCCGGCCCCGAGGCCATTTCCTGAAGACAAAACTCTTTCCTCTTACTCCGCATTTACTTCCGATTTGCATCGCTAACTCCCTGCTCGGCTTCGATGCGATTTCCAGGAGCCAGCAGAGTCCATCGGTTCTCGCGAGCATGTGGACGTGAGAGAGCCTGCTTCTTTTAGGGGCCAAGGTTCGAAACATTGCGCCATCCGCGAAGCCGAACAAGGCCTCCATACGCATTGCCCAAAAGCCTGTCCTCCCTTCCCATGGCCCATCCTCTCTCTCCATGGCCCATCCTCTCTTCCCATGGCCCATCCTACTCAAACATTCACATCACACAAGTGAGCGAGGAGCCGGTATGCGTTTGCACGCGCCTGGCACGGATCCCTTTTCCTTCTGCGGAACGAAGAATGGTGGTGAGACGAGACTATTTAGTTTCCATTTCGATTCTTTTCCTACGCCTACCAGTTCGCTTTGTCGCTCGGAATTTTGAAAATTCGCCGAAGTAACGGTCGAGGCTGGCCGACGTCGTCGGAGGCTTCGTGCTTAGCGGCTAACATCACGCAACTATCGAACAGCAGGAGTTCTTTTTTTTTTTTAATAAAATATATGGGGTACGCTTTTTGCATATGTGAATATGAAATAGCTGGAAAAAGAGAAAGATTCTTGCCTTAAAAAAAAATGGGAAGCCCAGTTTAGCCCTTTTCAGACCCCGCGTCCATTCCAATGGACATTCCGTTTTCATTGTTTCGATGATAATTGGGATTCTCGTGACTTCGCGCCCCATGTTACACTACAATGAACGCAATTATGTATGGTTCGATTCCGTCGGAGGTCTTCTCACACGCGTCAGTTTGGTAATATTCAGTTACGTAATTACTTTAATAATATATCATACATGGTATGATATGGTACATTTATACAAAATATAAAAGCGATATATAGGCCATAAAAAATTTAAAGTAGAAGAAAAAAAGAGCTCAAACATGCAAAAAGGTATGTTATTCCGATAGTGACCTTTATTCAGGTTCGAAAGGGCAATCCTTTTTTGATGCAGGACTGATGTAGGACATTGCTGCTTTCTTCGATCCTCACCCGAAGTGGACACGTGAATTTCCCGAGCAGCCCCCTTTTTACGTTTCTTGCACTTCCCTCTTCCACCAACCAGGTCAGGTGGATTTCTTCCAACCGATCGGGACCTCAGACTTCGGCATCTTCATCGCCGTCCCAGACGGAGCCGATTCCGCCAAAATCCGCCAGCCCAACGGAACGACCCACGACCCGACACCGGGAAAGCAGACGTCACCGAGACCGCCCACGACCGACTGGAGTCCGACTGGAGTCCCCGGCCCTGGATCGGATTACGGCGCGAGAGACAGAGCCTGTATTTCCCCTCGATCGATATGCACACCTCCGTCCCGGTACGCGGATGCGATGGAGATTCTCGCGGGAGGGCACACCCGGCACATCCGGAGCCTTCTTTATTTAATCAGGAGTCCCGAGCGACGAGGATGGGATGGGGGGCAGAAGGGGACCCGGCGCTTCGGTCTGCGGATCCTCGCATCGGGCGCCGGCACCGGGTCGGACGAGGTCGGCTCGATGGAAGATCGAATGCGTCTGGATATCGAGTTCGGCGCTTCTCGATGATGCGTCTGCACTTTAAACTCGTCACGGCGCGTCCCCGCGCGGTCATCTTTTCGTGCAGATCTCCGTGCGTGCATCCCAACGCGATCTTCGGAAGTCCCGAACCGCTTGCGTGACGGCAAGACTCGGCGGACTCGGGGACCTTCGCGACCGACTTCGGCGTTTGCGCAGTAAGAGCGGTGACGTAAACAGATAACTGACGGTTTCCTTATCACCCGGTTTCCTATGAAGTACTCAAGTGGCACGCTTTTCTTCGTTTCTCTCGGCTTGCCGGAACAAAAGGGAAAAAGCGAATATGGCTTAATAACTCGGCCATCAACCCGATGCACCAGGTTCATGCATGCAATCGACCGACGTCGGCGAAATTCTCGATCGAGAAGGCGAAATCGAGCCAAAGAGCGGACGAAGCGGTTCGAGGAAAGAAGAAAAGAAATATCGAAACTTTCCTCGTTAATCACAGACATCATTACGTCATTCATATGCATCGGCGGCTCTCAAAACTTTTTGGGTCCGCGACCTCGTTTCACGGAAGCCAAAAGCCTGCGACCCTCAATTTTCAGGCTACGTTGTGTTTATTTATTTATTGCTATTTATTTTTCCTGTTTATTTATTTTTAAACGTAGAAAACACTGAAAACATTCATCATTATTCAATGACAACCTCGCTGAGAAAATGCGAATCCAAACGACAGTGATTTCGGTTGCTCTCATTTTTGCTCTTGACGACCACCGAAGAAGAAAATCCAGATTCGCAAAGGCATGTCGATGCAAAAGGTACCCCAAAACCCCTGGTCCGCAACCACGTGACTCACACCCACGGCCCCCCTGGGGTGATTGGCAGGGGCTTTAATGTTGATGTTTAATTAAAGTTTCGAACATGCCCCTAATGACTTGCATTCTCCTTAAATGGAATTTCTTTTCGCTGCAATAGGAAAAAATTCATCAGAAAACATGGCTCGACCGGCTTCATGAAACCCGTGAAAGAAAAGAGATTATCCAGGATTATCTCCATTTCGCGGCCCACGGTTTGAGAACCGCTGATACGCATCGTTAGGAGTTTCCTTTCCACGTTTCATTAAAACTAAAACCTCATTTTTAGGGTTGTCAGGAAATGCTCATTACATGACGGCCCTCGACGAGTAATTTCCTGGAATGATCATGCGCCCCTTCAAACTCTAATCGATTCCAAGACCCGTGGGATTGGCGCAGGAAATCGGATTTTTTTTAAATCGCTCAACTCCCCGGCGTCGCAATTTGACACGCGGGGAGCAACCGAGGGGTTTGGATGCGAGGTTGCCAAGGGGGCAACCTGCGCAGAAACGCTTTTTTTTTTTGGGGGGGGGGGGGGGGGAACGCCTTGCTTTTTCCTATTGCAGCGAAAAGAAACTCCATTTAAGGAGTATGCAAGTCATTAGGGGCATGTTCGAAACTTTAATTAAACATCAACATTAAAGCCCCTGCCAATCACCCCAGGGGGGCCGTGGGTGTGCTAAGTAGACAGGGTAGCTGTGCTTTCGGCATGGGGAAATCCGAAACTTGTGAAAATGTCTACACCGAAAATCTCTTTCTTTTTGCGGTGGGTTTTGCGAATTCGACGTCCGGCCACCTCACATTAGGTCGGAGCTGTCATGAAAACCCTTTCTCCGTGACGGAGAAAGGGTTTTCATCACTCACAATTTTCTCACTTCGATCCCAAACGAATCCCGGTTCATCCTCACTGCATTTTCCCCGTTCGGGCGTCTCAGTCCAGAAAAG